TGAAGCTGAAGACCGAGTGACTGAACCAAAACACTTACTGCAAACAAATGAACGCTCATTTTACAACACAAAAAACAGCCTTGTTCACATTGTGTGGCCACCTACTGAAAACAGTGGCATAAAGCTCATACTGGGGAGTTAAAGCAATGAATCAGTGTTGAAACAGCCAAAACACAGACATTAGTAAATCATCCGAGTCTTATAAAAAAAAAAAATCTGTAATGTCTGACATTACAGGAACCTTACCTGTTATAAATATAATCCAATAATCACAAACTGAAGAAGTCATTAGACAAATGCATTTCCTGAAGAAAATGCGTGTGGATGCTGATTGCAGAAGAATTGCGCTGAAATGGCTGAAATCCAATGACTGAGGTTCTTTGTTGAAACAGCTGGAAAATAGGCCTTACTATAGTATGTGGTAAAAATGGGGTCCAACAAGACACTAAGTTCACACAGATACCAACTGCATGTCAATTAACAGAGAGAGAGAGAGAGAGAGAGAGAGAGAGAGAGTGTGTAGAGGTGGATCATTAGGTGGCTCAGCAGTTTGAGGACACTCCAGCAAATTTCAGAGAAACATGGGCTTCACAAAATAGACAAAGAAAAAGTACAAGTCCTATTGAAAAAAATCTTAACTATGAGCAGCAGGAGGCTTCAACAAACAGATTAATCACTGGTATGTGAAGATATTCCAAAAAATGAAGTGTGGCGATTTACAAATAGCCCTCACTTTAGCTTAGAGGAGATTTTCTGAATCTTTTTACAATGGTAGTCTATGGGAGAGTGAGGTGGCACTCTGGAATTTGCCAATTCATTCAAAAACCGTTCATCCTATCACAATAACAAGGGCATTTTCCAATTCCTCACAATTTTCTCTACTGTTTTCATGTATAATTTGTGTGTGGAAGCTTAAGGTAGGCAGAATAAGAGCAGAAAACAAGCTGGAAAATTGTAAAAAGGCTGTAGGATAGAGCTCGAGTGTGAGTGATGTCACCCACTGTAGCTCTCCCCTTTCAAATGAATCAAGAGGCTGAGAAATGTCCAAAATCAACATAAAACCTAAACTGCAAGAATTCAAAAACCATAAAAGATATCAAAAAGCTGAATACAAGATAAATAGCTGAACTTGTCCTGACTTGTTTAAAGGTTGAATGGTTTTTCTAGCTGAAAGTATGCTGAAGGTATTAAGGCTGAAAGAGGAGAAAGATTAAGATTCTCCCATTTACTTCCATGATAAAAAAAAAACATGTTGAAAAAAAGCTGAATATTTTAAAAAGTATAAAAGTAAGAAAAAGTTAAATAGATGCCATAATGTCCTTAAAAAAGCTGAACATTGATATTTGAATGGTTTTTCTCGCTGAAAGTAAGTGGGAGGAGTTGAGTGGCAAAAAATGTACGGAAAAATAAAAAACAGGATAACAATTAGACTTGGGTGACTTGAATTCAGCAACGTGTACTTTTTCCCTAAATGATAATAAAAGCACTTCCCTCATCAGAATGTACAAACTGCTGCTTGTTTTGAATGTTCTGCCTTTTCCTCCCTCACCTCTGACTTCCACTGAGAAGGGAAAAGTCAGACATTAATGACACTTAACATGGAAAATCTGTGATAACTTGGTCCAGACTCTACATGGAGTTTACCATCTCTTTACTCTGATAGAGCAGAGAAAGAGTCAAACAGTCAACAGATGTTTAGTAAAAACTTAGCATGTGGAATCATTTTAATAAAGATACTGTTAACATTAATGTTTTCAGACCAGGTGTACTGATTCTCACTAACTGAATTCTTGTGCATTCAGGCTTGAATAACAGGATTAGGAATCTCCATAAACAAAGCAAATGTCACCGCACAGGGTTCAGCCTCTGCAAACACTGTGAAGAAGGGAAATGTCCATTATGAAATAAACATTACAGAGGACATTTTCAAACACAGGCTGTTCACTTAACATGTTAACAGAACAATGAAAAGGTTATTCTAAGGCAACTGGAAACAGGAAGAGTTGAGTGTATTCAAAATATATAATAAAGCATAATAAACAGTTATCCAATTAAATTTTAACATTTTCCTCTCAAGGCTTAAGAAGCAGGTTTTTACTGTTTTAGTACATTTACGATTGATGTGAACTTTGGATAAGTCTGTCTTTTGCATTTTAGTTTTGGTTTGAAATGAACACAAATTAATTACAAATAGTTCACTGTCCTGTTAAATCCAGTCAGAAAATCAAACTCCAGCCCACCACAGCGCTCACTGCTGTCGGGGCTTTAGAGTTTAAGCTGCTTACATAGTTACACACCTGTTTGTCTGGTACGTCATCGTACATTAAATCTGTTGAGCTGATTGGATGACACGCGCACATAAAGACAGCAATGTTAACATCAGGAACATCTTGTTCTTGGTGTGCTGGTGGAGAGACTGAGTCGACTTAACTTTACAGAGCTACAAAAAAGGAACCAAAGTGTATTTTGATTTTGAATGCTTTTTATTTATCAGTAACATTCTATAAAGAAATACATTCACACTCACAATATGATACAGGACCTTTTTACACAGTCTGCTGCAAAAACAAGATATGGATAAGACAACATATTGTTCTATAGGTCGTTTTCCAGGAGCTGCTGATACTTAATACAACTAAAAAAAGGATTAAAAGAAAACAGTTCGGTGACCTGACCTGGGGCCTTTAATCCCCCAGCAGGATGTAAAGCTGACCCAAAGTCTGGGAAAGGGGAAACAGCACAGAAAACCCGCAAATGTAAACAATATGTAACAACATATTCATTGGCTCTGTTTGCGTGGTTCTCCCGTAAATTCTGGGAGAACTCGTCGCACTGAAAAAATAAAATAAAGCGTTAATGTTAATGGCTCTGGTCGTCTGATGGTTCGCCTGTCCACACTATAGTCCATCCACCAGTACACATGAACAAGATGTTTCTGAGAATGGCTGTCTTACTACATGAACAATGAAAATAACGCAAATGAAAAACAAAACAATGAAGCAGAGTTTTTCCACAAAGGCCCAATAAAAGCAGGCGGTGACATGAGGTGGAACAGAAACATCAGGCAACTTTTAGCGTTAGCTTTAAACTTACCTTCAGCTAATGATGTTTGTACAGTTTGTATGGATGACTGAGATGACTCACTCTCACTTGCTGCTCTAAGGCGGAACAGCAGCAGCACAGTGAGGACTACATACAGCCCTTTAGGATTGTATGGGTAAAAAACAGCAAATCAAAACGTTCACTGCTGTGACAGATACCCTCAGCATGCTCTCAAGCACAACCAAACGTTTACACCACACAATGTGCCATCAGCCAGCATTCAAGGTAAAAAAGGAAACATGCTTTAGATTGCAAGTCGTGGTCCAACTAAGCTGCTATGCATTGTGTCACCATAATGCTCCAACTCTCTGTCAAACATCAACACAGGAAAACTTGAACTGTCCTTTACCTGCCAGACGGTTTTAATGGGGCCTCTGTCAGCTAAGTCAATAAAAATGCCACACAAAGGCACTTTGCTTCCAGAGATGGAAACACAAGCAACTACCACTTTAAAAAAAAAAAAAAAAAGGTCTTCTAAACAAGTTGATGCTTAACTGCTGACCCAGAATGTGCCGTTACACCAGCAGCGGCTCCACTGCCGCTGGGCAGTACATCCTGGCTGGCAAGCTGGCTGGTCGGCAAAATGTTATGCCATGCTGTAGAGATTTGGTGATTTTATCATATTTAAAACTGCTGGCTCAACACAATCCTCTAACATTTGGTGCAGTCTGACACGAGCACTTCGACTCACCAAAGTCACAACCTGGTAGATGCTACCCACCAAGGCTTTAAGCTGAAGCTGAGACGGAGCTGTTGTACACTGCACTAACAGGTTACCCGCTTCTCACTCGGTGTGAGGCCTGGTAAAACCCTGGACAATCAGATGGAGAAACGAATGTGAAGCTTTTATCCTACTTGTTTTATTGAAAGATGTGTCAATTCATGTCATATTCTGATTGGCAGGAATGTCATAGCAGAAGTCTCAGTATAAACATTTTGTCCTAAATTTGAAACGGACACAGGCTTTCTTTGGTCACCAAAGTCTCCATCAGCGGTCAGAGGGTTCCTCTCAGTGGGTCTGGAACCGTTGATTTAGACAGACAACTTCAAATTTCACAACGTTTCTAACACAACTCTAATCTGGATGGTCCAAACATCCCAGTGTGTAGAACCCAGTGCAAAGACAGTGAAACTGCAGCTCCTGTTACAGCAGCTCTGCCTCTGAGAACGCGAGGCAAACCAAACAGCAGCTGACTAAACACTGGTGTCGGCCAAAGTTCAACCAGACGAGGAAACAGACAGCACAGAAAATAAAAGGCAGCTGATGACAGGGAGTTTTAAAAAGCTGCTAGCACACAAAGGGGTTTGGATTTAAATAAATTGGCAGACGCACTATGATGGCACAAACCAAGGAAGATAAAAGGCTGATCAAAAATGTGTTAGAACTTTTTTCATGCCAGCCTGTAGGAATGACCTTTGCCTTTCTGGGTTTTTAACTTAGTACAAAGAAAGTCCCTTTAATCTATTTGGTTTCCTTTTTGGTTTTTCCTTTGATCCAGTTTTACCTCAAATAGAATTTTAGATTTGTTAAGTAACAAGTGGAGACTAAAATATTCCCACACTTACATTCCAGTGGGTTGTATTGCATCATTCTCTTCTCACATTCTGCTCTGGAGACACTGCACTTGCATGAAGCCGGCAGGTTTCAGGACATGAGAGGAGTTTACTGCAGAAGGAAAACAAGTACTCTCCTCTAGAAAATATCTAAGTGCTGTAGTGTTGGCACCATTTATCACTAAATATCCTCTGAGTTACAAACTGCGTTTCTGCCTTTCGTGACAGGAACCGATTCACATTGAAGGAGCAGGAAGAGTACAGAGGCACAAAAGCTTATTGCTGCCAATATACTGTATGGAGAAATACTGCTCTTTGATATTCACACAGTTAAACCGAGGCTCACATCTGTCGGGGTTAAACTTCACGCAGCCTAATGAGAACTCAGGTTCTGTCAGAATGGGCGTTAATGTCGGTAGTAAAGTCCCAGTCAACACGAGAATGTTTGGGGCTTTGTTCAAACAATAAAAAAACAAAACATTGTGCATTTTGTGAGGAACCCTCGCATTGCAGTTTCCACAGCCAAGGAGAGTCGGCAGTATTTTAATGTAAACACATGGCAGAGAGTGTCAACTTTGGAAGTTCAACTGTTGTCTTGTTCTGAGCCCAGACAGAGCAGATCTGTACCAGGGCTGAGGGATGTCTGGGTTCCACTGCTAACCTGAGCATCTGGCTTTTCACCTGATCAGGATTTAATAGGAATACCTTAAAGATAAAAATAAAGCTCCAGCCATTAGTTAGTAACCCTTTACATGTGTAGTTACACCAAAATACAAATATTACAAATCCATGAAAAAGCCATGAGAAATCAACACATGCTTCAGATTCAGTGCCAAGTTTTTAATTTGACCATCTATTTTTTTTTCCCTCAACTGTAAGGGTCAATTGGACTGTGTGGTGTGCATCACTGTGAAGTCTGGACATCGCTCAGCCCTGATTAGTAGCAGCCGTGTTTCCTGTCACTTCAGCCTCGCTGTGTTCATACTGCTCTTACAGCCAATGGAACTGCTGCTGCTCTGTTCAGCTCTGTCCCTTGTTGGGCGTTTTTTAAACGCACCAAAGAAAAAACAAATTGTAATTTTATGCACAGTGCCTCTCCATGAGCAGACCCTTTCTTAGCCAACATAGCACGACCCCTATACATTAGTACCTTGTTCCAGCTGTTTGCTCTAGACCAGGAAAGGAAGCCCAACACCTGGCAGCGCCTTGCTGCACCCAGTGAGCTGTATCCAGCCGACTTGCATAAGGTTGAGTTGGAGCAAGGCAGAATGAGATTATCAAGTCACAGCTGACTGCAGTGAGGTCAGAAAATGCTTTTACCGCTTCATTGACTCACTTCCTGCTTCTGCTGTTCTTCCTGATTTAGTCAGAGAAGAGCAGGAACCTCGGACTCACCTTTTCATTATATTTTTACTTGACAACAGAAGCGCAGCTAATCTGCTGACTGACAAACTAAACAAAAATCTGACTGATCATTGGTTTGAAACGCCCCGCTGTGGGGTCTGTGTGGTAAAGAAGCTCCTGACTGGAGGTCAGGTGGCAACAGCAGAGCTGGACAAGAACAGGAGAGGGCAGGTGGCTCCACAGTGTCGGGTCCTCATGGTAGAGACTCCTCTAAGACTTGCCTGCGCTGGCCATAAACGGGATCGACCCAAACAGGTCCTCTGGTGGGAGGGGCTTGGTGGTGGAGGCAACAGGCTGCGGCCGGTCCGTCTCCACGCTGGCTGTTCTCTCCACTGGCTTCTCTGTGTGGAGAAGGTCACAGAGGGGAAGATGCTTAGATCCTCTACAGCTGTGACACCTGGGCAAAGTGTTTTTAACCACATACACACAAAGGCACTTTGCATTTAAAGAATTTCAGCTATTAATAATGCAAGCCGTCTCCCGCTGGGAGGTGAATTCTTTCTCTGTTGCTACTACTGACCATTCACACACTTGGGAGTTAAAAAAGCAGCAGACTGAAAACAGTCAGAGGTGCACGTAAGTGGAAACAGTAAACCTGCAGATGTAGCCTGTGATGCAGGCAGCACAAACCTACACATTCTTTGATGAGCTGAAGTTTTGTAGTAAATGATTAAATGCGGAAAAGAAGAAACCGGTCACTTGCTTGCTCTGAGCATGTCGAACTCTCTGTCGATCAGTTCCTCCTCAGTCAGCTTGGAGAAGTTGTCCTCTCCAAAAGGATTCCAGCCCGACATGTCAGGGGGGTTACTAACTGCACTGCTGCAGCTCTGAGGAGGCAGGCTGGTCCCATCTGAGGCAAGCAGAGGGTTTCTACTGCGGAGGGAGGACAACAAGACACCGTGTTACTGCGCACAGCTTTGTCACAGCCACACAGCCCAAAGGTTCAGAGTAAGTGCTCTTTGTTTTCAACAGGTCAGTAAAGGAGAAACCTTGCCTGTCATGGCAAGTGACAACTGTGATGCCCAGAAACAGGTCAACCAACTTTTAGCACATTATACTGTATTAATCAGTAGAAATCACTACTGCAATCCCACTAGGTCCAAGGTTTGAAAACCAAACTAACTAAAATAAAGAAAGGCCACAAGATGTGGACCAGCACTCCAGAAACCTTGCTAAGACTTAACAAAAGAAAACACTGGTTTTTCTTATATCAGCAACACAACTTCCCAGGATGTCTGATGTAACAGATCTTCATTCCCAGCACAACCAGCATTTGAAAACCACTATGACCAAACATCATGAAGATGCATTATACAGATTTGGCTCGACATAAACCTACATTTAAATATACTGTATTCTATTTATGGGTCTAAGTGTTGTTAAACTCAGGGGTACAAGTTGAAATCTAAGCATTTTGTGACAATAAAATAAAATGACAACCAGTGACATGTTTATTATCACAACATTTAACAAAGCTTATCAACAGAACAGGATTGAATATTAAACCACTTCTGAAGCACTACCATAACTACCTGGGGTTAGTGTATGATGGATCCACAGGTGATGGTACTCCCACCTGGCCAGTTCCAGCTCCAGCTCCAGCTGTGGGAGTAGTAGCATTATAGGAGCCCAGAGGGATCTGGAACTCCAGAGGGGAGGACATGTAGGGGAGAGGCTGCTGAGCGGGATGCTGCTGGACAAAAGCTTGTTGGTACTGTTGCAACTGTGAAGAAAGGGAGAGAGGGAGAAGAGGGGAAGGGAATGAGGGACTGACCTTTGATTCCATGGTGCACAATGACAGCAATGAGATGATGAAATGTTAAACTGTTTCTGGATTTGGAAAGCTGGGGACACAGTGGAGGGGAAGGATGGAGGAGGGAGAAATTTACACAAGCAGCCCACATGAAGCAACATTATCATTCATTCATATCAGGTTCATTCCAGCTTTTCTGATGAGAACATCTGCTGGTAACACAGACTGAACCATACAGCTCATGTAGCATAAAACCGAAACAGCTGAACAAGCTCAAACAGCCACCGAGTCCATCTCAACAGGCCGCCTTCACTTCACACCGAGTATTTTAATAAGATACTGATCATCGAAGCTGTAAGAAAATTGCATTTCTTGTCACACTTGTCCAAGCCAGCCTCTGTATGACTGCAGCAACGTCCTTTAGCCTCATTACTAAATGACAAAGATAACTACATTCACCCTCCGTAGTATTTTTACCCTTCATTTCAAAAACCTGCAACCGCAATAAAAGCCATCATCACCCATCTACCTCGAGAGCATCGGCCACTTTCAGATGGAGAACTGAGGAAAGTAACTCAGATATACAGTAGAGAAGCTCCACATGCATTACTTTTAAAATGACTTGATATATATCATTTTATTCTTTATTCCTGTTGTAATTCATTGCTTGTATTACACAGTGCCCTTGAGTAACTTGAAAGGCACCTTAAATAAAATGTATTATTAAGTGAAGGGCATTAAAGGACTTCAAAGTTCTAACTCACTCTATCTTATATGGGTTTTTAAATCTTATCTGTGTTGTTTTGGGTCCACCTTCTCTCTTATGTTCCTTTTTTTTTTTAACTTGGGAAAAAACCTACCTCACTGTTCTGTTTTTAAAATAAATGTACAAAATACTGATCTGTTGTCATTAAATCGCTTTACAAATTCGCAGTCACTTAGCAAAGCTTCCTCATCTCAATAAGGAGCAGGTCCAAGTTCGAAGGATGCAAGATGAGAAAACCACAGAGGAACAAAGAACACGCTGCTTTTAAACATTTACCAGATTTCTTGGGAATAAGAACAGTAATTTTGCGAGGTGCTCTCTTCCCCTGCCTGTGAACTGCTTCATATGTCAGGATGCAACACAGAGGAAACTGCTCGATTTCACCCTCTGTTCGATCCCCTTGTGGCTTCACTCTGACCAGATTGCCTCTGAAATAAAACAGATGGTATGCGTTCGGTGGGAAACAGACTAAAAATTGCGCCGCCCTAACAGTACGCATTTGGAAGACCTGTGTTTGTGTGTTTGATTCAGTTGCTGCGTAAATACTACTTTTCTGAATATTTGGACAGAGTCAGTAGGAAGTTTGAGTGTCTGCTTCCAATGCTGCTTGGCACAGACATGGAGCGACTCGACTGAAGAGGATTGGCTGCCAGTGTTTGGAACAGAGAGAGCAGTTTTAGGCCATTCTGACATTAAATGAAATATTCAGCTCCATGTTACTTCATGCTGTGTCTCCATGTGTTTCACTGTCATTTGCTCAAACTATTTACTGCAGTTTTGGATAAAATCTTCTGCTCTGAACTTCTGTCATGATTTTGAATTACAAGCACCCTCAAATGCTGGAATGGGTTTGAAGGTGAACAAAAGCTCATCCAATTTGATGGATTCCACTTTAGTGCGGACAAAAAAAAAAATCCAGTTCAGGTCTTGGCAGCGCCGGTGCCAGGCTCAGACCTGTGACAGAACTCACCATGGCTGCGTACTGAGCCTGGGCTTGAGCAACCTGCTGCTGGTACATTGGCTGCATCATCATCTGTTGTTGCTGCTGGAGCTGGAGGGACTGCTGCACAGCCTGTTGGTACTGAGAAGGGGAACAGAGAGGTTACAATCTGAGCTACTTCTCTCAGTGATGGTTCCAGAATCACCCGACTGCCAGAAAAAGGACTGAGAGGAGGTGTACCTGGAGGTACTGAAGTTGCTGCGCATTTGCATGCTGTTGCTGCACTGCTTGTTGTTGATGGTGATGTTGGTGGTGCTGCAGCTGCTGCAGACGCAGGTCACCAGGCTGTAGCTGCTGCAGGACTCGGTGCTGCTGAGCGCTGGGCTGGGGCTGCATGGACGGCTGTGTCGATCCAGGGGAGGGAGCTGACAGGTACAGGAAGACAGATATTTTGATATTTATAGCATTTTTGTTCCATTACTTTGAATTCAGTTAACGTAACAGTTGCTCTTCCTAATGTGGTGACACGATAATTAAAAGCTCACAATAAATGAACGGTGACAATCTCGAGGCACCTTTGGCCTGTTTTCCAAGGCACCCACTACGGAAGCCACGGCACCGCACAACAATCTATGATGAACTTGATTTTGGTGATATGGTGATATAACCAGTATAGCAGAAAAGACACTTGCTGAACTTGGGTTGTAAAAATACAAGCTTTACTTTTTAGTTTTTTGTGCAGTTCTATAAGATAAACATGAGAGTGTCTAATAAAAATGTAAATTATTAATCTCGCTAATGCTCAACAAACCTTTCTGGCCATTGCTGACGGGTGCTGAAGGCACTGTCATCTTAACAGGGGTGACGGTGTTGGTGAGGGGCAGGACATTACTGTTTGCCGCTTTTGGCCTCTGTCTGGGAGCTATCGATGTTTCCGTCGGGCCTACAGAGTCTGTAATCCTGGAAGGAAGCAGCCAGAAGTTGAGGTTTGATTTTCCTTGAACAATACCAATGACTCAAGTGATTTATGAACAACAAGGTTTGCACTGTGTGTTGTCCCGGTGTTGATGTTAAATTCTTCCCTGGGGACTTTTAATCAGCCCGTTTCACTAGCCTGAAGAAGATACTAAAGCATGAAAATTGATTTGATCAGTTCCTGTGGTAGTTTGTATATAAAAAGAAAACTTCCCACACAGTGCAGCAGTACCTGGCTTTTGTCATACTCTTCTTGGCAGCAACCTCGCTGGCTGTTAGAGGCTCTGGCAGCGACGTAGGGATGGGAGAGTTCTGGAAAAAGAGTGGAGAATTATGTTAATAAGAAAATGACAAAAATTAAAAGTCAGACCAACTGCTTTGTTCCAGGGACTTACAAAGAGATTTGGCACTGGGCAGTCTTTTCCAGCTAACTTGAAGGCAAAGTAGGACACTTGGTAAATGTCTGGTCTCTTCTCCTGGTCTGGTTCGAGCATATATCCTGAAAAAGACAGAGATCACTTTATACAGCGTGTTGTGCAGACCACCACTGGTTTTTGTGGTTAATGTGCATCTTCTCTCTTTGGCCACTTGGTGGAGCTGTTGGTTAAATAATTAAAAGAGGAAGCTCCACCACAAGACACATTTAGGGAAGATAACTTGAAAACAAACAAAGCTTCCATGACTGACAGTCCGTGACTAGTTCAAACAGGCTCAAGTTGAGTAAATGCTTAACAAAGGCTCAGTCTGTGTGTGACACAGGCCAAACCATGACTGTGGGTTTTAACTGCAGTCTAGCTAATGACAGAAAAGACATGAAATGAAAACCAGGAGCAGCTCCTTCTGGAAAACCTCGCTGTATAAATTCTCAAACTCATGTTCTGCATTCTGTGCAGCTGTGTGTGAAACGTCACTACCCCCAGCATGTGCCCAGACGTGTCTAACAAATTAATAAATGCACAAAAGGCAAAGAAGAATGCTTTTCTACAGTTGTCTTTCATAAGAATATAAACTGAAAATATGTTTTGGGGGGGGGGACAGACATGTTTAAAAAAGAAATAAGACTGAATCAAAATGATGATTCATCAAATAGTGATATTAACCAACATAGTAATTACACACTCATGAACCATTAGAATACACATTCTAGCATCCATGTCAACACCCCAGCCGACCCCCCAACTTACTGATTAAGCAGTGCAATCTGAAGGAGAATTTGGAGTTATCTGGAACAATAAAGGTTCCGTCACATATGGCGACTTGACTCTCCCCAAATGGAAGGGTGAAGAAACACAGCTTGTACAACAAGCATCCAAGTGCCTGTGGAGAAGACGGAGAAAACACCTGAAACCAACAACTTTAAGGGGCGGGTTATTGCTTGAAATTTCCAGTGCCAACGTGATCCCACGTGTTGGTACCATAGTCTGTCAAGACCTTTTTCCAACAACTTGGAGAATTTAAATCATGTGGTTCTATAAAAACAGTACTTCCCATAGTGTTTTGGTTCTAGTAAACATCTAACAGCTGATTAATCTGAAAAGGGGGAACTAGGACTAAGATTGCAGTTGTCAACCTCCACACTAGTCATAACTTAGGTACTTCCCTCACTGTAGTACAATAAACAATCTCTGTTTGAAGGCCAGAGGGAGAGTTGGGTGCAGTCCTCATCACTCAGATACAGAAAACACACAGTGAAAAAACACACTTTGACAACCACTTAGCATGTCAAGTACAGTTCATCCTAGGGGGAAGTGAAGCCCTGACCCTGGCTAAGTCATTGCCTTTCTCTACCCACTGAGATACACAGGACTGTTTAGCAAAAAACTGTTTGTCACTAGCCAAAAGGCTGCTTTTAAAAACAGGCTCAATGTCTGGCACTGTGGCTGTCCAAGCAAATCAACATGCAAAAGTTCTCTACTCCAAAGTATTATTCAAATTGGGCTATATTTGGCTCCAGGATATTTTAGCTGATGACAGAGTTACAGATGAAAGAGATGAAATTAGCCACAAGGTTCAGGGAATGTTTTCCTCTATCTGGAGAAAGGGCGCTCTGTACAGTTCTCCAGTCTGATACTGCACTCCCGAGTCAGACAGCATATCCATCAACAACCCCAAAGTGAACAGATAAATTCATGATGTACGAAACAACAGTTTCTACATGTGGCTAAACACAAAACAGGAAATGAAAATGCAGGGGGTAGCTGACAGGAAGTTGGTGTTTGTTGTCGTGTGTCCCACAGTAGCTGTCTTTGTGGGACAGAGGCCTACTTAAAGCTTTTGTTTGTTCTTCTGTTAACGTATACACACACACACACACATATATATCACTGTCAGTGCGCAATTATGGACGTATAGTGGAGCATCAAAGTAACTACGAAAAGGTTGGTTTCAGTGGCTGGTAGGTAGACGAAGGCAAAATATATCAACACAGCATGTGTTCACAATTATGCAAATTTCATTTAATGCATCTGGTATCAAATTTATTTACCTGTAAGAAGGTCACAAAGAGAAAAATGCCACCAAATTCTGCACAGTGAAAGCACAAAGCCAGTTTCTGAAACAGCAGCAATGTCTCCTGCCCAATAGCACTCTATATAACCATTTTTAACATCTGACAACTTGTTTCAGCAGCACTTGTCTTTTTTGGTCTTGAGATGTACCCAAAGCATAAACTCCAAGCAGTGCACACACCTACATGTACAAGATGTCTCATCAACAGCAACATCTTTATATTCTGGCTGTTTAAACTCCCTCGGTTTCGGTACATCAATTTACAGCACTCATCAAAATGGCTGCCGTCCAAGCCCTTGTTCCTGCCTCGCACCTTCAAATCAGCTGAGGCCCGTTTCACACAAGCGTATCAAGGTCCTCAACTCGGCCTAATTATCTCAAATACAGGGAAAACAGAGAACAGGCAGCAGCAGGGAGGGAGGAATAAGATGAGGTGGAGCACTGTCTTTGTTCTGAATAATGTTGCTCTGTGTTTTATAGAAATGGGAAAATGCTTTTTGAGAGCTGGTAGAGGCAAATAGCCTGGGGCAAGCCTGTCACAGAGACCAAGAGAACCTGTCAGGGCAGGGTGATGGCCAGAACAAAGCAGCCCTGCAGGGTGCATGACACACACAGAGTAGGGCCTTACCCATATATCAGCCTTAGTGGTGATGGCTTTCCCTGCATACAAGTTAATCATCTCTGGCGCCCGATATGAAAGGGTCGTGTACCTGTGAGATACAACACCAAGAATTAGACAATGACAGGTGACTGACCAGTGGAGTCAAGTTCCTCATAATGTTTATCATTTACAGCTAGTACAGAGAGTTTTCAGACCCTTTCAAGTTTTCCACATTTCAGACTCATTTTAAAATGGATTCCAGTTTTTTTTCCTCATCAATCTATACGCATTTCACCAATGACAAAGTGAAAACTGGTTTTTGGAGTGTTTTGTAAATGTATTAAAAATAAGACAGACGTCTCATTTACATCATCACTCAGACCCTTCACTTAGTTCCTAGTTAAAACACCTTCAGTAGAAACAACGGCCTCAAGTCTTCTTAAGAATGAAGCTACAAGCTCGGCCCCTTTCTTTAGGAATTTTCTTCCATTCTTCTTGGCAGAATTGTTCTGGGTTAGCCAGGTTGGATGGTGAACGTTGGTGCACAGCCATCTTCAGGTATCTCCAGAGATGTTCTACTTGGTTCAGCTGTGGACTCTGGCTGGGCCGTTCCAGGACTTCCACTGACTTTTTACAAAACCATTCTTGTGTTTTCTTGGCAGTCTCAGTTTTTGGGTCATCCTCTTGTTGAAATGTAAACCTTCAGTCCAGCCCGAGCCCCTGAGCACTCTGGAGAAGGTTTTCATTCAGAACTGGCTCTATATATTTCTCTAGCCATCCTTCCCTCTACCCTGACTAGTGTCTCAGTCCCAGATGCAGGAAACCATCCTCACAGCATGATGCTGCCACCACCATGTTTGACTGCAGGTCAGATGATGCTCAGTGCCTGTTGGGAACTGTGGCCAATCTGTTTCATCAGACCAGAGGATTTTACTTCTCATGGTCTGGAGTCCTTCAGGTGCCCTTTGACAAACTCCCAGCAGACTGTCATGTGCCTTTTATTGAGGAATGGCTTCTGTCTGGCCTCTCTACCATAGTGCTGAACTGGTAGCTGTCCTTCTGTAAGGTTCTCCCACCTCCAGAAAGGAACTCTGGATCCCAAGACCCTTGGGTTCTTGGTTACCGGTCTGACCAAGACCCTTCATCCCCGATTACTCTGAAAAAAAGAGAGCCTGCCAGCAAAGGCTGCCTAGTTTATTTTTCAATGTGTGACACAGAGCCATTCAGGTCACCTTGTTAATAATCAAAGTGGTTGGTTGTGTTTGGAATAAATCCAGCTGGCTGAAAAAGAAAAATGCAAAGTCGGTCTGAGTCACCACAGCTCAGAGGCCTGATCAGTGTCATGAAAAAGGAGAGTTTACACACGGTCATATTTTGCTGATAAGCACCACGCTTTGCACTTTATTGCAGCTGTAAATGTGGGAGAATTAACAGGCAGGTCTGGGCGGACTGCTGTGATTTGATACTATGCAAACAGAGTACATACACTACGAGTACACAAGACACCACAAAGCCAAGCTGTGACCACAAAGGAGTGCCACATTTACCACCTCCCACTACACTATCATCTGCAAAGGACCGTGTGCAGGAGCGTGTGAATTTTTAGTTTGCACAGATCTTTAGAAGTGTTTGCAGTGGAGCTCCAGGTTTGGGGAACTGAGCTCTTCTGATCTGCTCCTTGTGTGACTTGCACGTTCATGCTTGTGCTTTGTGGACACAAATAGATGCAGATTTTCAGCGTGTTATGTGAAACTGTGTATTTGATGGCAATTTGGCTTTGTTTAGGCGTATTCTGCCGGCCTTAGAGTGGTGCCAGTTGAGTGTCTAAGCACAGGCTGATTTGTTCACATATCATAACACCAGCCGGTTAAAATAAAAGTAACTTTAGCTTAAATACATTTTATCGTTTTTGTTGACTGCAGCGTCCAAGGAACTAAGGAGCCACAGGCACTAATGTAAACCACAGATTTCTTTTGTGCGTCAGCTTTAGATTTTAACAGCTGCAAACTGGACAAAGTTAGGTTCAATTTCTCTAAATGTACTGTCTCATTAGAACTGTCTATTGTTGTCTTGGTTTTTTTGGACAAGTTGAGACGTCATCTCAACAACAGTCACACAGTCCACGCTGTAGTAATCTTGAGGCATTAGTTTGACCAGTGAGTGCTCTGACCAGCAGTTCAGGCAGAATTTGCTGGGCATAAACTAAAAATGAAAACTATGTTCCTGTGATCAAAATGTGTGTGAAGTTACTACATTTTACAAAACATTATTTTATGGCAGTTTGACTTATTAAGAGTCTGTCACCCTTACACACAGTACTGAGTTCTATCATCGAGAACATAGAGATGACAGGTATATATTATGGATTTACCAGCTATTGTGCTGGGTGACATGTAACATGTCCCACACCCCACAAAAAAATCCTACATACTTCTTGATCTCATCCTCCACAGCGGTCACTCCATCTTTTACTTTTTAATTTATATATATAAAAAAATAAAACAAATAAAAGCATAAGGAAAATAGAACAAAGTAAAAATCAACACTACATATTAAATAAGTAGCGACAAATTGAGTTTAATGCCACTTTGTCTTGACTGGTTCATCTGAACACAATGCTACTGATGTGAAGCACTTAAAACCTGCCGCAGCCAATATGATCTGATAACAGAGCTGCAACACTAGAACTTTTACAGGTCAACACACTTTAGCTGTAGGAGAGTAACAACAGCAGATGTTTAGCACCGATGATGAAGATACACTAGTCAGCTAACCCATTTTGACAGTGTTACAACTGCAACTGTAGGTTTTAGCTGTGCTTGTGATTTCATATCTTACAGTTTAAGTTTGCTCAGAAAGTCCGTGTGCGTGTCGGCTGCCCCCCTATTTACTCTACAGACCTCACCAGTTCTTATTCGTCCAAAGATGAAGGGTTTAGGGCAGTGAGCTCCGGAGGCCAAATTAATTTTGCTGGTTCAACTGTGGAATGTAAATGTTCAAAAACTAGGAAAACAGTATCACAACTAAAGATTTATTTGCTTTTAGGTTAAAACTGCTACTGCCATTTATTTGCTCTGCTCTAGGTTTCCTTCAACTTTACTTTCGCTGAACCGGTCTGACAATGACCTAATGGCACGCCCCCCATGGAAAAACTGCATTCTCTCCAGTTTAGAAAAAGCTGGACTGCTCTTGTAAGTGAGATGCATCAAAGTAAAACCTCACAAACCCCAAACTAATTCAATACACAGCAAAAGAGAAGGGAGACAAGCCCTCATTAAAGTAACTCTGCCACACAAGTCTCAGAAGGCAAATTCAGCAACATGCCAGTCTGAAAACAGATCCGTTTCTTATTTGCACGTTATCGGATGCATTTCTTTTTGTGTTTCAGGGCTCAGCCTTTAATGAGTATTTTAATTTTAGGACCTGCGTAACAACATAAAATCAGGAAAGAAGGGTTCGAGCAACGATTCAGTCAGTGGAAAACTAGTAGCACAGAAAGAGACAAAGAAAAGAAAGGACAACAAAGATGAGACTGGTATAAAGTGCAAAAAGGTCATGAGATGTAAAAAGTGAACATCTGAACAGAGGCAGCCTGTCCGTCACAGAAGAGGAGGAGAGACCAAAGAGAATCAAGGGGAAAAGATTTCAAACTGCCCAAGGAAAAACTGAGCTAATGAAAGCAACAGAGTGTCTGGGTACTGCTGACAGCTCAGGGTTAAGAGGCGTTTTCTGCACTCTCACTTCCCCTGGCAATGCATGACTGAGCCTCCGTGGCCTTTTGTGTCCCTGCAATGTTATGTAAGCCATGTAGGCTGAACAGACAGCGAACAGAGGACAGGCCTGGTGTGCTGAAGGGACTGCACTGTTCCAAGGCTTGGCCAACTGGACAGAGTACAACAGCCCACTGGTGGGGCACTGAGGAGAATTCAACTATGGTGGGAAGTTACCACTGGCCTCCAAGCACCAGTAAAATGAGGCCAAATCTGGCTCCTAGTCAATACTGATTTCAAAATCTATTCTAAAAATCAAGTTAGCAGAGAAACAGTGAGGAATATTAAGATGTACCACCTACTGTGGCCTGCACCAAGAGTACGTTTGGTGCTCTAGCAGGAGGAGGTGGGGGAGAAAGAGGAAAAGGAGGTGGCTAAGCAATGAACAGGGAGTATTGGATAAGAGGAAGAAATAAGACAACAAGCTAGGAAAGGAAGCAGGGGAGAGCATAAGAGGAAGCAGAGTCGCCGCAGCGAGCAGTGAAGTCAAACCAAAGCATTCTTTCTTCTGCTGACCAAGCAGATGTTCAATCACCGTGGTTTATAAACAACTGTTACACACTACCAGTCAAAGGGCTGGGCAAACTTCCTCATTCAGTTCGATGGGAACGGGTGTCCTAACTTTTAAGGTGAAGACATCGTGTTTCTCTCTGATAAATCTCTCTCTAAATTGAAAATCTTCAGGTTGTGAACTGTTGGTCTAACTGAACAGGCAATGTGAAGGATGTCACCCCTGGGCTCAGGGAAACTGTGATAGAAACTAAATGATCTATCAAGTAACACTAGCTGTATCTAAAGTCATATGGGTAGAACAGAAAAAGCAGGGGGAGTCTGGGGAGAAGAAAGAGAGGAAGATCCCACTTACCTTTAGGTCTCTGTGGATGATGGGCGTCTTGCATTGGTGCAGTCGGGCCACAGCCTCGCAGGTGTCACAGAAGATGTGGAGGACCTCGGCCTCGCTGAAGCCCACATTCAACCGCTGGTTCATCTGCTTCACCACCTGGCCCGCTGCAGGAGAGAGGTCGGGGGAAAGCTTCAGCTCAAGCTGGGAAACCACCACCAGCCAGCATTGGTGGCATGTTGACCCTTACAGATATTTTCAAACTAAGGTACTTTTCATTAGGTTTACTTTCTCATGCTGTCAATTACATCCTCGCCCTGAAGCTGAAATTAACCTAATTCTACACTTAGCACACCTAAATGCTTGTGCTATGATTTCTGTGAGTTGACCAAAGTCATATTTTGTGTGATTGTAATACAAACATTAACTAAAATTACAGATTAACAATATGCCTCGGCCAACCAGTCAAATTCATGGGTATGGGACAGAAGTGAAGTTACTAAACTTGACCTCTCAGCCTCCAAGTCCACCAGGATTCAACCCGTTTTCATACACAGAGCTCGTTTGACACTGCTATTAACTACATAGAGTTAGCATCTGTTTTCTTCCCATTCACTACAATCAGCATAACAAGCACCATGGTGATGGTAGTGAAGCGAATGAGATCAGGTGTTTTGACAGTGGCGAGAATGAAGACGTCGCATTTCTGCAAGTTTGTTGTTGTGTTTCTTCAACAGGTGTTTGATTAATTGCTCTCTACAATTGGGTTGCTGTTGGTTTTGTTGCACATAGGGTGTTGACGTCTGTGTGAAACGCGACCTTGTGTCTGTGTGTGATGGGAAGGGAAGGGCGCTCAAACACATGCCAGAGAAGCGGAGCTTGCAGTCGTCTTTACTTTTGTCATCACTTAAAATATCTTCGAACTGCTGAAATTTCTTCTCTGCCGCCTAACGACCGGTTCAGCCAGCATGAGGTTAATGTAATGCTGCCATTAACTGGTATTGGTGGGACAACTTTTATGAGTACTAGAGGGTGGTATCAGACCCAATACTGGGTCGGCATCCGTGCATCCCTACATTCACCTATTAAATATGTTAAAAAAAAATACAACATAACTGAGGTTTTCTGTCCACAAGTCACTTTAACTATAGGCCCAATAACCTAAATGTCGATACTTGGGGAATGTTAGCATAAAAAGTTGCCTTTCTTCTAGCAAGCATTGCTGTAATTTCCAAAAGTGGCAATGTGATATGACAAACAAACATTCAGCATCATTGCTACAGTATACAACAAGGATAAAACACATAAACTGAAAATTGCAAAAAAGCCATGGAGGTTGAAACCATGCCTTTTGTTTAGTATCAAAAGTTTGGTTTGATTTAGTTTATTTGTCACAGACCAAGTAACCATGACCCAAATTAAAATCACAAGTCACAGATATAAGCAGAAGCCACAACCTCAATGATGCTGAGCTGTTTGAGTGTAAAATATGATGGCCAAATTTTGGTTTCAAAAGCATGTGCATGTACAAATAGAGGCCATACCTTTACAGTATTCCATGAGAATCAGGACCTCCCAGACACTGTCTGACACAGGATTGATTGTGGAGTCTAGGTAGCCGACAATGTTCTTATGGCCTGACAACTCCTTCTGCAAACAGGGTGAAAAGATGAGAGTGAAAAACACAGAAATGGCGGGGGTATTCAAAAAGTTCTGAGCAGGAAGAAAGAAGGATGGGAGCTGTGCATCTCCAAGAGTTCAGCTGTAAAGTACACACGTACTATTACACAAACTCCACAAAATACAAGGTAGCTATTGAAGTAATTACAAGGTATGTGGGCTACAGAGATGCTTTCAGTAAGTGCTGATGAGTATTTATGTTCAGGTAGGTGAAGTGCTGCAACCCAATTTACAATCTAAAATAAAGCACGAAAAAATGTTTCGTCATGTCTTTAAGTAGTTTAAGCATCAATGAATGTAAACTGCATTAAAGACACAGGTCAATCATATTAGACAAGTTACAAATAAGCCAGTAACACTGTCTTTGAGTCAGATATTATAAAGCAAACACCACCACCAAAAATGTCGATAAAATTCAAATTCTGTGTGAAGTTTGTTGACACTTCCTCTTTTTACTATGTAAGAGCGATGTGAAACTACAGAAACCATATTCAAATCCACTTGTATAAGAAGAGCATCCAGCTGAATCCATCCAGGTTTCATCTTTGCAGTCAAGCTCCTGTATGGCAAGAACGCACACCATGCTGATGTCTTAACACCACAAACCTTCCTGAAATCAATTCATTCTCAGGCTTAAAGCACCACAGTGTTTGTTGGTTGTTAAATCCCAGCACGAGAAGAGACTGCTGTGTTGTGGAAACCGACACACCTAAGGCAGCGTCCCAACAGACCAGAACTCTGTCGACGTTTAAGGTTCAGTGTGTGTGGGTGAGTATTACACACTGTTCCTGCTGCTGAGGGCGCG